AAATTCGATAGGAGAATCCTCTATATCCATATCCACAACTTACAACAGAAATCTCGCTTTCTCCAACAGATGGATAGTTCTCGAGTCCAGGACACATTTCTCGTCCCTCATTCTGGTCATACTGAAGAATAAATGAACTGATATCAGCGAGGGTGTTTCCATTCTTCGTCTCATATTTGAGCTGTTTAAATCCATTTCGATTCATGGGAATACGCCAAGCATTCCGTTGATTACCGTTTAAGGTTATTGAATCAAGTTCGAGCAAGGGGTTATAACTACTTGTGTCTAGTTCAGCAGCATAGAGAACAAACCCATAATTAGGAATGGGACTTGATGCTTGAATACCAAAACTATTGAACTTGCTATTCTCCAAGTTATCAATTTTCCACTCAACAAAAGTTTGTGAAGAGTATGGATCGTCCAAAAAGGTAAAAGGAACCAGGTCGAACAACGGTTCAAAATTCTGTTGTTGATTTTCGTCAACATCACCATTTTCATCCACAATCGAATAGGAATCAGTCAGGATCGAACATTCATTCACACCAAATACGCCAGTAGCATCGAACACAACAGGGTCAGAGGCTGATTCGTATTGAGAACGATGGATTTCAAAGGCTACTTCATTCTTACCAGTGAACTGACCAACCATAGGCAGAATAACATGGAACTTGGAGAAAGAATTCGCATCATGCATTGTATCGCCCATCGTTTCCGCTGTAAAATCAGCTCCAAGGTTGAAACGAGCCACCAGAAAACCATTATAGTAAGCGGCCACTCCTCCGACATATTTGATGCGAACGTTCAGCACACGATACCTAGAAGCATCAGGTATATTCAGCTCTTTACGGATGTAGGTAGTGACCTTTTCATTCGTCCCAATTTCAGTTGCTTTCTTCGAAACCCAAGCAGAATCATCAAAAGCCAAATAATACCAGTTTTCCACAAATTCATAGCTAATCTTCCAGTCAGAATATTCAATTTGGAAGGGTAGGTAGGCAGAGAATTGGGTGGATACAGACGCCACTCCATCAGGCACTTGGCCCATTTCAAAAATCATGAGATCCCGATCTACAGCAAGATAATAGCCAGCCTCAGCACCCCAGCCATTCTGATTCAAATCCAGTAACTCGAGAGTGTATATTCCATTTTCCAAGCAAACATCCTTGTAGATCATTGTGGAGGCTTCAGAGAAACCTTGCCCAGTGACAATCGGATCTTGACTAAAATCACTATAAATCTTGTAGGAAATATCCTGAGGATAGCTATCTGTACGGATAATCAAAGAAATAAGAGAATGATGGCCTGTACATTCCGCAACAATGAGACTAAATTCAGTGCTTTCCATTTCTCCTGTCATCTTATATGCACTGATCGTATATACAGTTTCAATAGCCGATTCTAAAGATGAACCAGATATCACACCAGTTATAGGATCAATTGTTAGACCATTTGGAAGATCAGGATTCACACTGAAATCATAATAGTATTCAGAATTTGGATACATATCTTCTATTCTTTCATATTTGTAAATAGTCAGGGAATCAAATCCATAATCAAGAGCAGGAATATCAAATGATGTATATACCAATTTCAAATCCAATGTTCCTAATTTCCATCGACAAGAATTCGAATCACCACTACCAAAATTAACAAATCGATATTGATTATATGCTTTGTTATTATAGAAATAAAATACTTTCGATTTTTCTGATTCAATCCATTCTACATTATTTACATCCAATAATCTTGTCCATTCACCTCCATTTTCGTTTTCATTTCGAGCCTCAAACGAGAATTGACGAGGTTGATCAACTTTTTGATTTTGTGCTAGAATAAGAGTTATGGAATTGATCCATTCGTGTCAATCGTTATTGAAATTGATAGTAAATGAATTATCATTACATGTTTCCGATGACATACTGAAAACATAATATTGATATAATATTTGATTTGCAGTCGCTCCACTCATTCCATTTGACGAGGCATCATAATCAAATATACGTGATTCTTGTGGATCTGATATTAATCGAATAGCACAATCAAATATAACCTCATTTTGAGTAGTATCCGAACCAACTAGACCTACGGCTATTGTATTCGTACCTTGTTTTATATAGTCTACAACAGTAGAATCACCTTTACTGTTGGTAATTCTCATGGGAAGAGATATTTGACGATACATGACTTCATCATATGTATTACTTGATGTACTCGATTCGGATATTGTAACATCATTCAGTCCTTTTCGGAATACTTCATTTCCATTCATATAGATTATACATCCATATTTGTACTTTATTGAAATTACAAATCCACCAATATTACTAATACTGTCACTTATGCTAAAAGAATTTCTATACAATTGGATATGATTTGTTAGAACTGTGGAAGGCAAATTATCGACATTTGCATTTGACCAATCACTACTCAAATCTAAATCGGAACTATGCCAAGAATCGGGAATCGTTGGACCTGTATAATAATACCAATTAGAATGACTCGGAATCGAATAGGTAAGATTGAATGTACGTGTAGTAATAAGACCCGTAATCTTATCATATCTCATTCGTAGAATCGTCTCCATTTCATCATTCGAAAGTACAGTACGAACATATAAGAATGAAGATGAAAACCAGAAATTGAGAGTTGATCCAATAGTGATTTCATATTTGTTTTCATTGAGACAGATATAATAAGACTTCGTTTCTCCATCTTGTTGGCCGTCATCCGCATTAACATTCAATACAACACTTCCAGATGAACTCTCCTTAATCGTGAAGAATTCTTTATTAGCTGCATTTCCATAATCCCGAAGAACGTCAACGAGTGTTCCAGAACATTCATTCACTGTTAAGACAAATGATCCAGTGTAGGTATTTCCAAGAAGAATCGACGTTACAGTCACGGTCACAGATGAAGTTGATACACCTCTCTCAGTAACAATTCCAGATATGACACAAGTGTCGGAATCAATTGTAAGTCCAAGAGGAAGATCCGGTGCAGAACATGAGGTAAACTCGTTGATGTCAGGCTTTATGACTATTTCTTCATACTTTGCCCACACAGTATATGAGTCAGGAGTGAAAGTGATAGTTGAAGGAGGAGAATAAGCGCAAATTAGAGGCTGCATTTCATACAAGCGCATCATGGGCGAATTGACGTTGCTTATAATGTTGAGTCGATAGTTATTGTAAAGTGTACCATGGAAATAGCCACTATAGATTTGATAAACGTTACTCTCTAACTGAGCATCCGACACAGAAACTACGTCAATCCAATCCAGGCTGTCGTTCGATCCTTGCCAAGTGAATGAGTTGGGGGCATTGGGGAGATAGGAAGACGGCCATAAACGAAGAGAATTAATGTAAGGCTTCGGTCCCTCGAAAGCGTAGGTCACAGTAGCAGGAAGATATGTGGCAGCAACAGTATAGAAGCTGGCTGTTGAGAAGTCGAAACTATTTGCCGCACTAATTCCAACAGAAGAGCTGACTTTAACAACGTCAGGATAAATGAAGCAATTCGATTCCGCCAAAGAGGAAGCCAGAAAAGCAAGATAGGCATTGAAGTCGACAGTGGTTTGAGGAAGAAGGAAATGGATCTCAATAGCCAGAATAGACTACTGGTCAGTCACTTCAAATCCAGGACGAATGAATCCATGATAAGCTATTTCAGAGTATTCACCAGAAGCAACGGTAGCAGAATCAACATCTCCTTCAGGCATGTTGTCACGATAGACTTCGGCTCCATTGATATAGGCAATCACTCCAGCCTTGTAGTACAGTCTCACATCATAGGCAGCCATGTTCGCAAGACCCACAAACTGTTTTCGGAAATACTGAGTTCCAGATGTAGTAGTGGTAGAAACAGAGCCCAGAGTAGCATCCAGCCAGGAACTATCAGAGAATGAATATACATTCCATCCATCCGTAACAGATCCAGAAGCCATCTTCCATAAGGCGCTCTGCTCAATACCATAATACAGAGATAGAACATGCGATTCTTCAGTTGAAGCAGTCAATGTTGCTTTGAATACAGCATTATCATACTTACCAAAAATAGTGAGATAAGAGCCAGCTGGCCATGAATTATCAGAAATGGGGAGCAGCTTAATATTGTATTGATTATGGTTCGAGGAGGTTAAGCACTGTTCAATAGGAGACAAAGAAGGCGGATTGTGATCCGATCTAGAAAACAACACAGTATCCTCCAAAAGAATTTGGTAATTAATTTGGTCTAGGTCCGAAGGAAGATTTTCCACAATCTTCAGGTAGGTTTGTCCAGTACCGCAGGTTACCTGACTTGAGGCAAAAGAAACTATGTATGAGACGAATTACTAATACTTACATAATAATCCAAGAAGAAGAATCAATACCATTAATAAAGATTAACAAACTGTAGAATTTATAATTATGATAATAGATATGTGATTACTATACATTTTTCTAAAGGAATATTGTGATTTCAATAAGAATGTAGTGTACTCTATACAGACTTGAAGTTGTGCAGGCACGGAATCAATTAAACAAAAGACTTCCTTTTCTGAAACAAAATGGCTATTATTGAAAACGGTGATTCATTTCATGGCGTAAAGCTAGATTGAACAGCATATTTAGATAATTCCAAATTCATGCCCAGCTCAAAGCCATTTTCTAGTTTCCTACATACTATTAGTATTACTACTTTTGTAATTGGATGAATATTGGATTCTTGCCCATATTTTTTATGAAAATACCTTCGTTGGTAGACAATCGTGCTGCACAGTTAGAACTAGTTGAATGTGTCTCTGAGCGTTCAGTTGGAACACACGGAGATTGTGTCCTCGCTCTCTGCGAACGATTTGTACTGTTTTGTGTGTAATGTGGATGCTTTGTGTGTGTCCTATCATGTAGTCGAATCTATCGATGAGCGGAGTTCGCAGCCTTGTGTGGAAGGTGGCGTTGGGTTGTCTAAGCGCCCATCGTAGCTACGAGATGGTTGTGTTATTTAGAGCCGTTGGAGCAATGGTGCAGCGAGATTGGGTTGCTGCGTGCGCGGTACGAAGAGCTGTGTCGGGACTATTCTCGTCGGTTTGCTCCGAACGTTGCGTCGGAGGAAGGCGAGGTTCGTGTTTCTCCGCGATAAAGCGAGGATCTGCGCGACCCGGAGCATTAGGCAAGCGAGCAAACGATCCGGAAGGACTGCACGCGCACGTTCAGCCAGCTTCTGTTCTTCAAGAGCGCGGCGGTGCAGGACCTGATCGTGCGGCTGCTGCTGGTCTTCGCGTTCGCTCACCCGGAAATCGGGTACAAGCAGGGCATGACGGACCTGCTGGCCGTGCTGCTGCTCTGTCTGTACTGCGACCGGTGGCGACTGGGCGGCGGAGGCGAAGGCGAAGGCGAAGGCGAAGGCGGAGGCAGTCTTCCCCAACGGACCCAAGACATGCTGGACGAACATCTGCGCTTTCAGAGCCAAGCGTATCGACAAGAGGCGGAGGCGTTCCGGCGAACTCTTTCTCCCTCGCAGCGCCAAGCCATCGCGTGTCTGCAGATTCTGACCTCTTTAAAGTATCTGGAACACGACTGCTTTTGTCTTCTGGAGGCGATGTTCGCTCCCCTTCGAGGCTGCTATGTGTCGGACAACAGCGATTCGAGTCTGGAATCGCGCATGGATCGCGTGATGTGGCTGGTAGGACGCTGGGACTCTGCGTTGGGAAGCCATCTCGCTGTATTTCCGTGACTCGAATACGATTCAGATGCTGGAAATCCACCCCTCGATGTTCCTATTGCGTTGGATTCGGCTTCTGTTCTGCCGAGAATTTGCTTTGGAGGATGTGCTCTATCTCTGGGATCGGCTGTTTCTGCACGCTCTGCCCGATTTCCCCGCGGTTCCCTATCTCTGCACATCGATTCTGCTGGGCATGAGAGAGAGGATAAAGGGGTGCGAATCGATCTCGATGTTGCTATCAGCGATGCAGGAAGGACCGAGAGCATTAAACATAAGTGCGGTATGGGAACTAACGATGTGGTTGTGGCAAGTAATAGAGGGCGAAGCTGCTTTTAATCATAGAAGTACGAAGTGGTTGAGTACGAGAGAGTGGTGGGAGAAGAGAAAGAAAAGGAGAAAGCGAAGGAGAAAAAGAAAGGCCTGCTAGAGAGACTGCTTGGGAAACGAGCGAAGCACCGCCCTTCTAAACTCGAAAAGAGCGAAGATAGTCCCAATTCAGCGAGTTGCACAGAGTTGGAAGCAAAGACTTTCATCGAGTCCGGGAAGGAATGCAGCCAGATTCCCTCTCCATCAAGCGAAAACACGGGTATTGAGGGTACTGCAGCTTCCAAAATATGACCACTCTTGCAGTGTTTGTAATACAAACAAGATAATAGTTGTTTTGGTAGCGAGGAAAAGGAGGAGGGGGATAGGATGCAAATGGATTTAAAGGAACTGCACTTGCTATGTTCGCCTGAGAAGGACGAGCCACTGCATTGGGAATGGGAGGAAAGTACATCTCCGTAGACCTTCCTTGTTGATATCCTGATTGTATGGACTGCGCAGATTGCGTTGACTGTACAGACTGAATGGACCCAACTCGAAGGATCGGGTTCATTGCTGCTGGAGGTACTGGAGGCACTGGAGCCATTGGAGCCATTGGAGCCATTGGAGCCATTGGAGCCATTACGGCCATTGGAGGTACTGGAGGTACTGGAGGTACTGGAGGTACTGGAGCCATTGGAGGGTATCGAAGGCTCGAGAGATAAGGACGGGGCGCAACGAGTGGAATAGGAACAGCCAGAGGGGCGCGTTGCTGTTGCTGATGACGTTGTTGCTGCCGTTGCTGATGAAATCGAATGCTACGCTCCCTCTCCTTCTCTGAAAACACATATTTCAGAAGAGGACACTCCGTTTTGGATATGTTGATTATTTCAGGAAGAGAAGTGTGGCCTAGTCGATCAATATCAGCCATTTCCTACTGGCCTGAAGAGAAGGACAACTACACAGACCGCGTAACTCATTGTAAAAACTTTGGTACTCCGAAGGGTAAACAAACAAAGTGAAGTGAATGCGGCAGAGAAAATCCACTTCAAGAGCATTGAGCTCACTTACCGTCAAGTTGGCAAAACTGGCATAAAACTCAGACTTAAAACATATTTCATCAAAAAATTTCTGCGCAAGCACCAGTCTAAACCTCACTTTCAAAACACAAGCTAGTACGACGCTATTATCAAATTCTTGAGAGAGCCGTTATTTACAAGTCCCGGAATTACATTATGAACTCGTTTTATGTATAGAAGAGATAAAATGTAGCATTCCAAGCAGCAACTCATCTGAGAAAATAAACTAGCTCATTATCAAACAAAAATAAAAGTATACTTCGAATAGAACGAAGAAAGAGTCATTAAAGGACTATCATATCGATAATACATTGACTGATCATTGAACTGGTTTTTCTATACGATATTCAATAGAAATCAAACGATACAGCCTTGTTTTCTTCCACAAGTTTATCCACATAGAATACATATATTTTTGATATGTCGACAATATTATGTTCCTCCATAGAATAATTCCAAATGGAAAGAGCACTATGAGAGAAAAAAAGTAAACATTCGAGTCAACTTTCCAATATTGATTGTTTGCGATAATTTAGATATAAAAATAGAAAAGAAGACAAGTGTTTTGACTTTGAGAAGACATATTCTTCATTGTTGTACTGCTTAAGAATGTCTGTATTTACAGTGCTACAGAGGTATTTTATTGAAACAACCACTTCCCGTTGCCTTTGTTGGAAAGCAAACTAATTGCTATGTTAATATAAGAGGTATCATATATCTTTATATTTACCATCAATAGGACAATAGAAATATATTACAAGCAGTAGCTGATTGTGTAAGGAGGAGTTAATTCATGTTCATATGTTTACAAATACTATACATAGGGTATATATATATAAATATATTTTTTAAATTAGATAATTTATTTAGAAAATAAAGAAATACATTTTAATCGTTAAGGCACTATTAGTACAACAAGGCAAATCCTGTCGTATATATCCGTTTCAGGTGTATCTGAAATCAACACTAAATGTAAATATATCATGTATACAAAGAACTGAGCACTATACATTTACTATTCTTGATGTAAAAACAAAATCACTAGCAGAGTATTTCTGGGTTAGTTTACTTGACCAAGCATGTGCCTACAACTGATAAACAAGGCATAGACCATATCACGATTTGTTGTGTATTTCGTTCGATCTTTCATTTTATTCATAATCAATAGGTGTTGATAATAAAAGTGTACTATAGGCAATGTTGGTAAGCTGTTCGATATGAATCCTGCGAGTTTTGCTTATGTGTACAAGGCGACTACTCCGACTCAGAAGTTCACGATCCAGTTCGCGAACGATGGAGCCGAAATGTTCAACAACTACTGTTTCATAACGAGTTCTCAGTCGAATAATTATGATCCTCGTGAGTGGAGCATTGAGGCATCGATGGATGGTCAGACCTTCAGCGAGTTGAAGAGCGAGTCTGAGGTGTACTTCGATTCGCGTTCTATGGAGTATTGCTTCTACATGCCTTCGAATACCAAGGCGTGGACATACTACCAACTGACTCTGAAGAAGGCTCGTGTGGACGATACTGATAACTACTATGCTCTTGCTGATTGGAATTTGTTGTTGCAGGACTATTCTTCACTGGAGATTCCGGAGCTGTCGTTCAGTCCGAGCGAGATTACTGCCTATACGGGTGCTGAAGTGCCTGGATGGACTTGCTCTTCTTCCTATTACAACACGTTCTCGATCACTCCTGAGCTTCCGAGTGGACTTTTGTTCAGTACGACGACTGGAATGATCACTGGAACTCCCACGGACATCAAGGCTTCGACCGTGTACACGATCACTGCGCTGAATCCTCTGGGTGAGGAGAAGACGACGACGGTGACTCTGACGGTTCAGGAGTGCGCTGGAGACATGGTATCCTTCAGCATTGAATTGACGTTCGAAACGGGAGCCTCTACATGCTCGTTCGTGTTGAAGGATCGTGCGACTGGCGAGGAATTGGAGGAGCGCTCGAACTTCGCTGACTACAGTTCGATCTCGATTCCGATGTGTCGTCCTGCAACGACATATGCTCTGGTGCTGAAGAAGCAAGGCACTGGCGGTTGGGGTAACAGCAAAGCGACGGTGAAGCTGGCGGATGGGCGCACGCTTCTGTCGGAGTCGTTGGCTGCCGGAGCGACGGAGAAGGAGTACAACTTCAATCCTGCGTATTCTGTGTATCCTCAGTGGACTCACTGGAGCTACCTGGTGGACGGCACGGCCGCTCCTGCGGGCTGGAACACTCTGAGCGGAGCTCCCTCGAATTGGGAGACGCAGCGACCGGGTCAGTTCTTCGCGGCCAGCGGTGTGACCCAGTACTATTTCACGAAGTTCCAGATCGAGGATCTGACGGAGTTCGCTTCGATGGACATCGCTGTGAACGTGAAGGCCGGAGTGGTTGTGTATCTGAACGGAGTCGAGATCCGTCGCTACAATCTCCCCGAGAATACGGAGGTGAAGGAGGATACTGCGGCTACGGGCGAGAGCGGCGAACCGTTCTTGCTGGTGATCGGAGAGGCCGTGCAGAGAGAGCGGCTGGTGGTGGGCGAGAACATTCTGGCGTTCGAGCTGCATCGCTATGAGGCGAACGAGGAGACGAACAGCTTCGATGGATCTGCGATTCTGATTCTGGACAACATGTACCTGCTGCTGGATGGTACGGGTACGACGGTGCCTGCTTTGACCGGAGTCGAGGGATCGGACAAGGTGTTCGATAACAATTCGGCCACGAAGATGCTGACTGCTACTGGAATCTGCGAGGGTGTGGAGCTGATCTGGTCGTGGAGCAATGATCGTCGTGAACCAATCGGTCGATACGGTCTGGTGTCTGGAAATGACTGCAACAACCGCCATCCTTCGGGTTGGACTCTGTATGGTTCGAATGACGGAGAGAGTTGGACGGTTCTGTAGTCGAAGGCTGGTCAAATATTCACTTCGTACTTTGAGCAGAAGCTTTACAACATGTTCAATGTGAATCTGTACAACAAGTCGATATTACATCACAGTTGATCATATGTTCTATAAGAAGATAACATGTTAATTGCACAAATAGTCACTGCTTGTAAATAAACAGCACGGCCATGAATAAACTATCAAATCAATATTAAGAAATACTATCAATTAAAAACTGAAAGTATGTAAATAGGATAATAAACAAGCATATTGATGTGTTGATAATAGAATCAATATCGAAAGTCATAGCTTCACTTAGACAAAATAAGAAAAATGGATAATACATTTATGAACGAAACATACACCATTATATAGTTCAGCATTATAAAAAATATGGATTATCTGATCACAGTCATAAATTCACTTTGAGAAACATAACTCCACCTCACTGGGCAAGTAAAAATAAAATCATCTTTATCTGAAAGAATGAATATTAGACATGGATGATTCAGATTCTCTCATTCCAATATTACATAGCAGGGTTAATGAATATTATTCATCATCTTATTTGTAAAGGCCATAATCTTCAAGAAATATGGATTGTATGATATGATATAGGGTTTTTCATCATTCGAATTCATTCACATATTATCGAGTAGTATTATCTCAATGATCCTCCATAAATTGCTTTGAATTCTCTTTTTTAAATTATCGAGTTCATTTAAAGTATGTAATCTTGATGTGGAAAAACGTGGATAGACGTATATTTTCAGATAGTAAACATAATTAGGACTAGCCACATTTATTTGTGAATTAAAATGAATTCGATGGGTGTTTGGTGTAGTGCGTTCTTTGATGTGATTAACAGGAATCGGCTTATATTTTAGATGGCATTCAGAAAAAAGTATTATATATATATATAAATCGATGCGGTTCGTAATGATTGTAAAACTGTAACTACATTTTCTTGATGTGTGCTAAAACGGTTTTAAAATGTCTAGATGTGATATTATTGGACTAAACCCAACCAATCAAATCATTATTATTTGTATGAATATGTACAGAACGGAAACCGATTATTATCGATATCAGAAAATACTTCAAAATGTGTATAATCGAATATCAATTCGCTATACTATTGTATTTTGTGATATATACATTAACAGATTCTGTACTAATAATCAATTACAATCAAGAATGAAAATAAAAAACGTCAAAGTATTGATGTAATCATAGTAGAGTATCTGAATAGTATTGATAGTATAAGCTCTAATATGAATGATAGAAAAATGTCTACCTATTCCAATATGACTACATATCTGAGTGTTGAGTCTCACACAATTTATTCGTAAATCCTTCATTCCATTAATCATATATATATATATATAGAATTACGATATGTGATAAAAAGAGGATAAAGAAAGTTGAACTGAAATACATTTTTCGATTTGAATTGTCCTATATTAATCGTAATAGACTATCAACCTAATCCATTAATTTGAATACCAACACATACATGCAATCAAACCAAATCTAGGTGACATATTAATTTGTTTATCTGTATCACATTTAGTCTTTCAAATCAATTATTCCATATTCATTTTGCGATTTCATTTACATTCCATTAGAAATTATCATCATCATCATCATAATCATAGTCATCGTCATAATCATCATAATGATGTAGAAATGTGTTATCTTATTCATTTACATTATTAACACATTTATCAACATTATGATTATCAATCATTATGTTTTCATATTTTTCATTTTCATTATTATTGTCATACTATTAGAATTATCACTAGTTTCGATTCAGAATCAATATTGATTCGATCCAATATTATCTTCTTTTCAAACATATCTTCAATTTAGATACAATTTTGTCTGTATGATTTGATTAGTGTAAAGAATCAACATTCTATATAGTATATATGTTGTATTCTATTTCTTATTCATCAAAATACTATGATAATTGTATTGTTTGTACATTCATTGACACATGAACTTATGGTTATCATCATTGTTATCATCATTGTTATCATCATTGTTATCATCATAACTATTATGATAATCATTTGATCGATAAATTGTAATAGTAATATGGAATTTACTATTACGATGTGAATCATTTGTATCATTGATAGTTCTAGTAGTAACAAAATACCAATATTGTCTCAATTCATATATTACTATTTCATTATCTTCATATTTAGCTAATTTCGTTATACTTTGATTCCTCAATCATATATTCTTATTATCGTATTCGAATTTCATAAATGTATATATATATATATATGTCAATGATTCCATGTGTTAGAACTAATATGGATCGATGGAATCGATGACACAAGATTATCTTGTCATATTCTTATTGTCTTATGTTTCCATATTGCCAAATTGCTGATTGTGATGTAGATATTATGTATTATAAGTACAATCGTAATTTTCATGAAATCTTTGATATATATATATATATAAGAGTGTCCAATATCAATTCTCAAACTATATATTGTTATACATGTAAGTGTCAACCATATCTTATCAAACTAGTCATTAATTTAACATAATTACAACTTCATTTTATTTATTGTACAACACACACAGCACCAACAATATAGAGTAAAACTATATTAGCAGTGGATTCAGGAAAAGAGCATGAATGATTAGATTCATCTAATTATTCACACTATGCTTATTCTTGAAAGTAGTCCAACAAATATGCATGAAGGAGAAGTAACATATATTATTGTATTGCACATATTATTTATTACAACCGGTATTTGTATTAGTTGTTACTGCTTGTTATGTTTTGTATTTATTTTACTGTATCAAATTGTTTGTTATTGAATGCTTCATAAATAATCTTACATAGTACTTGCATCATTTTACATCTTAATATATAAATAAGTGAAACAACAATATTAGAATGGAAATAATTTACATTAAGAAGAACCAATAGATACAAAACCAGCCATATGAATTATTGTAAAAAACAATAACCTGGTATAACGATGTTAACTCATTCTTATCAGAGTATTCTGTCGTTTTCAGGTGGTTTTGATTCGGTAGGAACAGAGTTTCCAGTTGTGGTGTGTTCCTCTGAAGAACCTATAATTCTGGCCCCCTCTTCTATTGTATTAGAAACAGCAGCTTCTTCTTCGACCGACTTTTCGACTTTCATTTCGGGCAGCTCAATCGACTTCGATTCGTCTTTGTATGTTGACTGTTTACCAATGATTCTAGCATTCGGCCAAGTACTCACATATGCCATAATGCAAAGGCCAATCAACGCAAAAATAGATGAAAAATAGTATATAGCTTCTTTGCTGTAAGGATAGATAGCAGCCAGTACTAAAGGAGAAATGATGAGGGAAGAAGAATAGCTTAAGTTATTCCAAGAAAGAACTGTTCCTTGAGTTTCAGGATTGGTTGTGGTCTATGTGTTATACCTACATCCACAATCTATCTACCGTGAGAATTGACGCAGAAGTAGGAGTACCAAAGCAGTAGCCAAGCCACAAAATATAGGTAGCTGTAACATTTCCATATACATTGTTGATTGCTCCCATACCAATGTAGGATACAAACTGAATAACCATTCCTGTCACTGCCAATTTAGGAATGCTCACATACTGAGCAATCCAAGGATAAAAGAATGCATGAAGCACAAAACAAAATGCACCCTGAGTAAAGACGATGGTACTATAAATCACATATCAAAAGTACTCCTTACGAATAGGTGATCGAGTTAACGCCCCACTTATCAGTGAGATAAATACCATATCGGGAATCAAAAGCATTAAGTGATTACCTAATACATAATTCGTAAATGAAACAAAGAGCCATCGTGGATGTGACTCTCACTTTGGCCTTTGGTTTTGGCTGATCTTCTTTTTCTTCTTCCTGTCTACCTTGCTCTTGTTGTTCATCGACCTTCGTTTCAACTTTGGCATCCGTTTCTATGTCTCCTTTTCTTACTTCCCCGTTTATCACTTCATTCTTCTTCGCTTTCTTCGCTTTCAATTCTCACTGTTTCAGAACCTTAGGATTTGATTCTTCCAAAAAGATCATGGCCACGATCATGGCAATACCAGAAACACCCCCAGCAACATACATCGGGAAATGATTGTTCACCTGAGCCAAAACACCACCAATACCTGGCCCGACAATGTATGCAAAGGAAATGCAAGCATCTAAACGAGATAGGTATTTGTTTCGATCTTCGGCAGTCGTAACATCGGCAACAACTCTAAAATTCACAATACAAACTCTCTTGTACGATTGAACCAAAATTTGGGATCCTGCAAACAGTCCAGTGAATGCTCGCCAGAATATGAGTGGCCACATTGCATACGACATTCCTTGAAACAGAGAACCTATTCCCTCATATTGTCACTCTATTTCTACCAAAACACGATCCAAACAATGATAATAATAAGAAAGGCCTTCTTCCATAAATATCACTACCCGGACCCATGATCAATAAACCTAAATGATATATATCTATTACTGTATAATACTAATAAGTTGCATGACAGAATACGCACTAAATAACAAACCTTCTTGCATAGGAGTAGAATTGAGCTCCTTGACTAGAAACGGTAGAATGGGCACAATGAGTGCATAGTTCATCATGTCAAAAAAGACCGTTATGAACGCTAGAACTAGTATAGTTTTTTCTCTCCTGGTAATTGTCATAGTAATGATTCAGACCTATAGGTAGACTCCCGATAGCAAAAATAAATAAACAAAGCTCTTGGAATTGGAAATAATGGCCTTTCCTCAAAAATAATTTATTGTGTTTATTCATTTGGTGTGACCCGAATTTTTGTATCCCCTATTTATTGTGCCATAACCCTATTTATGATTCGTGGTTTACTTTGAGGTAAACAAACAACACAGGTTGTCTTTAAACGTTTCTGTCATTTGTTTCGTATTTATGTATTGCGATTAAGTTGAACACGGAATTTAGATAGCTTTCGTCTATACCAAAACTACGAACGCCAAGGACTATA